GAGAAGAAAAATGGTCTGAGCCATTGGCACCTTAGCACACAGACTAGAAAGCCTGATAGTAGCCACAGAGAAGAGAATGTCAGACCCAGGAAGGCTCTTAAAAAGAGGCTATCAGAGCTAAGAGATCACATAGAATGCTGAATGTCAGCTTTAGGAGTGACCTGAAAACCACATAATGTTCAAGCTGAAAGAGGACTTAGAACACTGATTTTCTGAGTTGACATGGGCCTTAGAATTCAGAGAATCACAGTTGAGAAGGACCTCATTTTTATGTGCTCATTGGACAGTTCACGGGGGGAGTATGAGGGTAATTTAAAAAATAGCATAGTTTATTTATGGTAAGAATTGTGGTAGTTATTTCAGTATGATTTAGATTAACACAGCAGTGATGCTGTGAATTACAACTCAGTTCCCCACCCATATAATGAAGGTGGAATAGTTAAGATATAGGGTCTTATTTTTCTCAAAAATTAGGAAAAAAAATTGATTTCTTGAAGTGATTATACTGCTAGTGGTAGAGTATGAGGCCTAGAAAGTGCTGTGCAATATGAGCAAAGCAGAATTATAGTAAGTCAAAAGAAGTGTGAGATGCACAAATTTTGAGACATCTCCCTCCTAAATGGTCATACAGACCTGTGGTAGAGCCTTCCAAGCTCATATCAGTCTGATCAGCCACAGCCAAACATACATTGACCTCAACACCATGGTGCTCTTCTGGTCCTCTTTGAGCATGAAGGATAAACAGCACCATTATATTTAAAAGATACGATATTTCCACTTTTAAATCAGTGTCTTGCAGAGACATAAAAAGTTCATTGAGACTAAAAGAAATACAGAAACGAAAAGAAAAATATAGAATTTTACAACAGGTGGTGTCTTGGACAGTGGTGTCAAATTCACATATTAAGGGGAACCATAAAACTGTACATAAGGAACCCCTGTAGGCTGCATATTGACTTAGTTTTAAAATGTAATGTTATCTATGTTTTATTGTATTTTTATTTATTTTGTTAAATATTTCCATTTTTGCATATTTTCAAATTTCCACATTTACATTTTAATCTGATTTGGCTGCACTTCAGATATTGTGGGCCTCATGTGGGGCATCATAGAACAGAGATCTTCATTGCTGGGAGGTGCCTTGGAACTCTCAACATTATCATTGAGAAGATAGGTTTTTGTAATATATTCAGTGGCCCAAGGCATGGAAAGGGACAGTCTAATGGAAAACTCAATAACAAAAGATATATGTGGCTTGAAATGGAAAATGTGTTTCCATATAATTTATATCAGGAGAGTGGTGACTGTCTGATACACTTGGCCATACACTGAATTAATCAACCTCTTAATTAGTTAATTAATCTCAGTTTCCTCAATTGTAAAATGCCAGTAACAATATCACTTACATCATAGGGTTGTTGTGAGAATAAAAATAAGATAATACATTTAGTATATTAGCATAGTGCCTGGCATGCAGTAGGCACCATATAAATGATTATTCCTTTCCCTTTCTCCTCTCTTTTTAAATCATTGTATTGCTGAGGCATAATCAGTTTAATAAGATAAAATTAAATGCATAAGTGAAAAGAAAATTCTAGAATTTTAGGATAGGGTGTTGCCTTTGACCATAAACTGTCAGATTTATTAGTTTTGGCCTTGAAGTGTTATTGAAAAAAAAATGTAGCTAGAGGAGGGTTTAGAATACAGAGTATGAGAGCTGGCTGAGCAGAACTGAGAATGAACACTGAAGCCCGAATATGAGACCTGGCAGTGTATGTCGTACACAATATTTGAGCTGGCAAGAAACATAGAATGAAAAATGTTGAATAGGGCTCTGAAACCTGTAATATCAGAGATGGGAGTTGCCTTAGAGCACAGAAAGTAGGAGATGGTGAGAACTTAGAGACAGTGGGATCTTAACACACAGGATTTCAGGCCTGAGAGTAGCCATAGAACCCACAATGTCTGACCTGGGAGATATCTTAAAAAACCAACAATAGAATATCAGAGCTCAGGCAGGGTCATAGAATCTGGATCTTTAGAGCTGAGAAGAGTCATACTGAGAAGATGGGTTTTTATGTACTCAGTGGGCTAAGACACAGAATGGAATAGTTTAATTGAAAACTCAATGACAATAGATATTTGTGGTTTGAAATGGAACATTTATTTCCATATAATTTATGTTAGGGTAGTGGTGATGGTCTAAATTAAGGAATCAGGAAGACCTGAGTTCCAATTCAGCCTCAGATATGTAACTATTTCTGTGATCCTTGGCAAGTCACATAATCTCACTTTGACTCTGTTTCCTCAATTGTAAAATGGAGATAATAATAGCATCTACCTCAGAATTGTTTTGAGGATCAAATGAGATAATATTTGTAAAAGTGCTAATACAATGCCTGGCACATAGTAGGCACTATATAAATGCTTATTCCCTTATGAAACAAAAAAAAACAAGTGATTTCCTTGATCAGTTAAGACTGATATTGAGATTACTACTATTGACAGTAAATGGAGAGTATTTATTGACTACTACAAGGTATTAAGTTCAGTCCATTTCAAAGAGAAACCATTTGTATTGTCACTTATTGTTTCAATAGTCCCACGTGCAGTGGAATCAGAAAAAAACAAAAATCATAGGAGGATGGAATCTGAGAACAGACAATGTCAGAGCTGGGAGAGACCTTAGAACAGGGAATGTCAGAGTTTAGAACAGTATGGCAGAGCTGAGATGGGTCTTAAAGCTGGGAGGGGCCTTAGCACAGAGAAAGTCTTGGGAGGTACTTTTCAAGGAATATCGTTGGAGGTGAGAGAGAAGACAGAAGAGAGAATTTAAGAACAAGGAGGGCAGTCTGGACCTTGAATGTCACAACTGGGAGTAGACATTGAAATCAAAATATCAGACCTGAGAGAGTATGTGATGCATAGAATGAATATCTAAGCTTGGAGGACATTGGGAATCTAGATCTGATCTGGATGGAGCCTTCGAACCTGGAACATTAGAGGTAGAAGGGATTTTAGAAGACAGAAAATGGGATATGGGCTAAGCCTGAGAACACAAATGGGCTGAGCCAGTAGGACCATACTACATTGAAAGTAGCCATAGAGAAGAGAATGTGGATGCTGGGATGGCATCTAAAGCAGGGGATAGCAGAGCAGGAGAGCACATAGGAGGTTGAATATTTAGGAGGAACTTGAAAAAACAAAATGGCAGAGCTTGAGGGATTGAGAGGTCATAGTAGATTTTCAGAGCTGGGTGGTACTTTACACCTCAATGTCATCCTTGAGATTTTTTTTTTTAAGTAATCAGCCAAGGCATGCAATATTTATTTCCATATAATTTATATTGGACAGTGTAGATGATTTGAATTAAAACTCAGGTCCTGGACCACAGAACTTTAAAGGTATAAATTTAAAATTCAGTCCTATATGGGGCTCCAGAAATAAAAACAATTCCTGACAAGACACACAATTTTTCATAGTGCCCTGATCAGGTAAGACTGCTAGTGATGTTATTATTATTAGTAAGAGATGAAGAGTACTTATTGACTGCAATAAAGTATTAAGTACAATATATTTAAAAAGGAGACCATTGGTGCTATCAATTTTTTGCTAAAACCCACATGCAGTGTAATAAGAGAAAAATAAATAAGTAAATTAAAAACCTTAGCATGTTGTAAGAGGTGTGTGTCTTAGAACTTAAAATGTTAGGGCCAGGAGAATACTTAACACATAAAATGTTTTGACTTGGATGTTCCTTTCAAGGGATATTGATTTAGAGGAGAACTTAGAATAGAGAATATTAAAGTTTAGAGAACAGTCCTGGCTCTGAATTTCTGAACTTTTAGTGGATGTGGAAGACATTCTATCAATCCTGGAAGAGTTTGTACAATATTCAAGCTCGTAGCAACTTTCGAATCAAGAATGCCTGTGCTAGTGGGGCCCCCAAGCTTGGGTATCAAATGTGAGGAGAACCATGGAACACAGACAGCAAAACATGGGCAAACCTGAGGATACAAGTTGTCGTATTCATTGTGACCTTAGCACATAGAATGGCAGGTTTGTGAGTAGCTGCAGAGAAGAAAATGTCAGAGGTGCTTGGCAGGAGAGCTCTTGAACACAGAATGTCAGAACCAGCAATGACCTTAAAACCACAAAATGATAGAGGTGGGAAGGGCCTTAGGAGACACAACATCATATCTGGAAAGGAAGTGTAGTTTGGTTTTTTAAATGTTCTCAGTGACCAAGGTGTTATGAGAGATAGGTAAAATTTAAAATGAAGTTTATTTTATATAGTTCAACATAATTTATATTAGCAAAATGATGATGTCCTGAATGAAAACTCAGGTCCTGAACCACTCAAAGAAGAAAGATAAACATACAGAACCTATTCTGGCTCTCCCCCCAAAAAAATGTAGGAAAGAAAAGGAAAAAAAATTAATTTCCATGCAGAAATGAGGAAAGATTGCTGTGATTATTACCATCATTGTAAGTGAATAAATAGTATTTATTGAAAAAATAAGGTAAGTACACAGGGTTTAAAAGGTACATACCATTTATGATTTTCAATCATTCTACCGTTAAGACATATAAGTAATGTAATAAAACCAAATAACTAAATGAAAAGGGAAAAAACCTCAAATATCAGAAGAGGATGGGGCCTTAGAACATTAAATGTCAGTGCTGGATCAACCTTTAGAATATAGGAAAGCCTTAAGAACACAATGTCAGAAAGAGGGACATCCTTAAAACCACAGTGTCTGAGTTGGGAGGGCTCTCAGGACATAGATTATCTGAGCTGGGCTGGTCCTTAGAACACACGGCATCATTGATGGGAAGGAGGTTTTGGTGGTTTTGTTTTTCAAGATGCTTAGTGGTCAAGATACTGGAGGGACAGGTAAATTTTTAAAATTATAAAGTATCTTTATGGCATGAGATGCAACATTTATTTGAATATAATTTATATCAGCACAATAGTGATGCTCTGAATTAAAACTCAGGTCGTGAACCACACAAAGAGGAAACGTGAACATACTGTGCCTAATCTGGCTCCCCCCCTAAAAAAAAAAAAGAAAAGAAAAAAACCCGACAAAAAAGTAACCCCATGCAGTGCCTTGAAGGGTAAGACAGCTGTTGCTATTCCTATTATTCTTAATGAATGGGGAGTATTTATTGAAAAAAAAATAAGGTAAGTTCACAGGATTTAAGTGGGACAATATTTGGGATTTTAAATAATTTTATTTTAAGACTTGTATCTGAAGTTATAAAACTGAACCAATAAATGAAAAAGGGCATAAAACCCTTGACTATCAAAAAAGGGAGGAGACTTAGAACCCAAAATATCAGGGCTGGGAGGGTCTTTAGAATATGGAATGTCTGGCCTTTCAAGAGAACATATTGGCAGCTGGATAGAGCTTAGAGTAGAGAATTTCATCACTGGGATAGTAGTCATGACTGAATGTTGGAGGTTTAAATAGAAGCCAGAATATCTGACCTGGGAGGGCACTGAGACTATCTCAGCTTAAAGGCAATTTTAAATTGCCTGACCTGGAAGGGCCTCCAGTCTGGAATATGGAAAGGGGAGGGAGTTTAGAACCCAAATTGTCTGACCCAGTGGGATCTGAGCTCATGGAATGTTAGTCCTGGGAGTAGCTAGAGGGGAAGAGAATGTCAGAGCAGGTAGGGCTCTTGGGGATATCAGAGCCAGGAGACACTTTCTAACACCAAGTCACCAAGTGGGGTGAGTGGCCGAGTGGAGAGTATGGGCTTTTAGAGCACAGATTAGTAGATTGGAAATGGGCCTGAGAACACACAGTATCATCCCTCAGGAGGAGTTTTGTTGATGTTCTCAGGGGTCCAAGATATTGGGAGTTGCAGTTAAATTTACAAGACAACAAAAATGTTCTTTATGCGTTTATTTTAGTATAATTTCTAGCAGCACAGTGGTGCCACTCTGAAATAAAACTCAAGTCCTGGTATACATATTCAAAGAGGAAAGGTGACAATACAAAGCTTTTAACAGCCCTTCCCCTCCACTCCCACTCCACCAAACAGCCCTGAAAAAAATAATTTATGCACTGCCTTGATCTGGTTAGGCTGCTATCAGCATTCCTAGTGCCAGTGAATGGAGAGTATTTATTGGAAAACATAAGGTAAGTATGCAAGATTTGGGATTTTAAATTATTGTATTGTTAAGATACAAATAATGTAGTAAAGGAAAACTTAACAAATAAGTTAGAAGTAAAAATACCCCAAAATATGAGAGGAAAGAGGGCCTTGAGAACATAGAATGTCTGGCAATGGATGTGCCTTTGAAGAGGATAAACTAGAGGTGGGAGAAAGTTCTAAACATAGAATTCTCCAGCTGGAGTGGCGGCCCAGACTCTGAATGTCAAAACAGGGAGCTGCTGGGAAAGCCAGAACATCAGGCCTGAGATAGAGTGTAGAACATAGAATGAATGAGCTCAGAGGAGACTTAGAATCAAAAAGACCAGAGCTGGATGGGAATCTGGAACCTAAAACACAGAAGATGAGAGAGCATTCAAGTGTGAGAACAAGACTGTCTGATTCTGAGGAAGCAAAGCACACAGAATGTCAGGTTTGGAAGGAGCAGCAGAGAAGATAGCAGAGTCAGCAGGGCACTGGAATAAGGCACATCAGATAGGAGGGCCTTTAGAAAACAATGTCAGAACTAGGAGGGGCCGTAACACCACAGAAGGGCAGGGCTTAGAAAGCTCTCAGAACATAGATTGGCAAATTTGAAATGGTCCTGAGTAAACACAGTAACATCCTTGGGAAGGAGTTCTGTTGATGTACTCAGGGATCTGAGCTATAGGATAGGGCAGGTAAATTTAAATAATAATCAAGTATATATTTGAGATGCAACATGTGTTTCAATATAATTTATATCAGCACAGCGATGATACTCCAAATTAAAAATCTGATCCTCAATCACATTGTCAAAGGGAAAAGAGTAAAAGGACATTCATTGCCTTATCTTACATAGGAAAAAAACATTGAAAAAGCCTTGACAGAAATAGCAATTCCAATATACTATTAGAATAATCTGATCTGACTGTTATTGCTATTCCTATTATTGGCAATGAATGGTTAAACAAGGTTTTAAGTGCATAGGATTTAAAAGGCATAGCATTTTCTCTTTTAAATCATTATGTTGACAAGACTCATGTGCAATGTAATAAAATAAAAATAAGTAGATAATAGAAGAGGAAAAAATATCCTGAACTATCAAAGCCAACTGTGGCCATAGAACATAGAATTTCAGGCCTAGAAGGGAGGGGCCTTAGAGTGCCTGGGTTTATGAGGCCAGAGAGGTTAGAAAGGAGAATTTCAGAACTGAGGGGGGCAGTTAGGGCTCGAAACGATAGGCCTGGGAGTGGACAGAGAAGCCAGAGTATCAGACCCAGCAGGTGCTTAGAACACATAATTTCAGAAGTTGGAGGAAATACAGGCTCAAGAGTGCTTGACCCTGGAACCTGGAATATCCGAGCTGGGAGGGCCTTTAGGCCAAAGATGTCAAACATTGGGCATGCCCACAAAACTCTCTCCAATGCTTCCCTAACCAGATTAAAATGGAATTGAGAACTACTTAACAAAATCAATAAAAATGCAGTAAAACATAGATAACATTGCATTTAAAATCCAGTTAATATATGGCTCTTAGGGATCCTTCTGTGGCCTTCATTTCTGTTGAGTTTGGCACCACTGCCTTAAATCACAGAAAGTGAGAGATGGTCAGAGCCTGCAAATACAAATTGTCCAACTTATTAGGATCTTAGCAAACCCAGTGCCAGAGCTGAGAGTAGTCATATAGTCATAGAGATATAAATTTCAGAGGTAGGAAGGCCCTTAGAAGAAGAGAATCTTAGAACCAGGAGAGTCATTCTCCTACCTGACATTCTTGTCAGCACTAGGAGCTGCCTTAAAACCATAGAATCTCAGGTCTGGCAGAGCTCATAGAAGAGAGATTTTGAAACATGAAAAGGGCCATAGAACACATAATGTCATATGGGAAGGAGGGTTGTTGTTGTTTTTTTTAATTTACCCTATGACATAGGTATTGGGAGGGTCAGGTAAATTAAAAATACAAAGTATATTTATGGTATGAGATGCAACATATATTTCGATATCATTTCTATCAGCACAATTGTGATACTCTGAATTAAAACTCAGGTCCTGAACCACACAGCCAAAGAAGAAAGTTGAACATACAGTGCCTAATCTGGCTCAAAAAAAAAAAAAGAAAAGAAAAAAATGAAAAAAAAAGTAATTACATGCATTGCCATGATGGGTAAGACTGCTGTTGATATTACTATTATTGGTAATAAATGTGGAATATTTATTGAAAAAAATAAGGTAAGTACACAGGATTTTAAAGAAACATCATTTGAGATTTTAAATCATTGTATTGCTAAGATAGATATGTAATATAATAAAACTGAGTAAGTGATAAGATTAAAACCCCTAGACTATCAGAGGAAATGTAAACTATCAGGGAAGGAGGGTTTTCAGAAGCCAGAATAGCTGAGCTTGGAGTTGCCTTTCAGGATAAGACGTTGAGTTGAACTTAGAGACTTTCAGCCGTAGGAAGGTAGTCTGGGTCTGAATGGCAGAATTGGGTATTGACATGGAAGCCAGGATATCAGATCTAGAAGGGGATGCAGAGCATGGACTGTCTGAGTGTGGAGGCAGTTTAGAAGCAGACATGCTGGAGCTGGACAGGGCCCAGGAAGCTGGAATTTCAGAGGTAGAAGGGAGCCTCAAATACAGAAAGTGGGAGATGGCTAGAGCCTGAGAACACATATTATAGGAGTCATCATTTATATAAGCAAGGGATGTTGTTCTGAATTAAAACTCATTCTGAACCACCCACCCAAAAAGGAAAGGTAAAATATAGCACTTCATCTGGTTTAAAAAAAAATTAACTCCATGATCTGTCTTGTTCCAGTAAGACTGCTATTGACATTTGTATTATTGGTAATGAATGGGGAGTATTTTTGAAACAAATAAGGTAGGTGTTAAGTAGAGTATTTAAAAGGGACCCCATTTTTGCTTTTAAATCATTTTATTGATAAGAGACATTCAGTGTTACAAAATAAAAGAAAATGAAAGTGAGAACAAAAATAAAACAGACTGTCATACTAGGGCATGGCCTTATATCATAGAATTCCAGAGCTTTGAGGGCCCTTAGAACATATAGTATCCAGACTGAATATGCCCCTCAAGATGAAATATAGGGGCTGCTAGAGAGCTTGGAAGGCACTCAGGGTTCTGTATGACAGAAATTGAAGTTGACAACATAGAAGCCAGTATCAGGCCAGGGAGGTCACTTAGAACATAAAATGGCCCAGCTTGGAGGAAATTTAGAAACACCAGTGCCTGAACTTGATGAGGCCCTGGAGCCTGGAATGTCAGAGGTTGGAGGGACCTTAGATCTCAGACAGTAGGAGATGATCTGAACCTAAGAACACAAATTATGCAAATCAGTGGGATGTTAATCAAGAAAATATAGGACCTTGGAGAAGCCACAGAGAAGATATTGTCAGGACTGGGAAGGGCCTTAGACAGAATATTGAAACGGAAGGAATTTGATTTTTTAAATTTAGGTGCTCAGTGGGCAAGGTGTTTAGAGTGAAAGGTAAATTAAAGAAAATAATAAATAGCAAAGTATATTTATAGAATTAAATATATATTTCAATGTAAGATATCAGCACAATGGTTATGCTGGAAATTCAAGTGCTAAACCCCACAGACAAAGAGCTAAGGTGAATACACTGGGCCTGATCAGGCTTAAAAACAAAACAAAAAAAGTGAAGTAAAAAAAAAATGAACAAAAAAATAATTTCATACAGTGACTTGATGAGGTAAAACTGCTGTTGATATTACTATTTTCTTGTTAATGAATGGGGACTATTAAAAAAAAACTAAGGTAAGTACACAGGATTCAAAAGGACACCATTTGTGATTTTAAATCATCATTTTGCTAAGACATATGTAACATAATGTAATAAAACCAAATAAACAATGAAAAAATCGTAGATTTTGAGAGGAAGGAGCAGTTTTAGAATATAAAATATCCGTGGACTGTCTAGTCTTTGTGGTACCTTTCAAGAAAATATATTAGAAGGTAGCTAAAGTTTACAATAGAGAATTTCAGCACTGAGATAGCAGATCCAGGCCTGAATATCAGAACTAGGAGTTGACACAGAAACCAGAATATGAGACCTGGGAGGCCACACAGAACACAACATATCTGAGCTTGCAGGAAATCTAGAATCAAGAATCCCAGAGCTGAATGAGGCCCTAGAACCTGGAATACCAGAGGTAGAAGAGAGTATAGAAGACAAAATGGCAGTTGGACTGAGCCTGAGAACACAAATTGTTTGAATCAGTAGGACTTTAGCACACAGAATATCCAACCTGAGCCTAACCATAGAATATGTGAGAGCTGGGAAGGCACATAGAACAAGGGATGCCAGAACTAAGCAAGACAGAATTTATATCAGCACAATGGTGATACTCGAAATTAAAATTCATGGCTCCAAACCCAGCCAGTGAAGAAAGGTTAATATATGTCCAAAATAAAACAGTGAAAAGGAAAAAAAAATAACAAACCATGTTTGTTTTAAAGTATTTTGAAGAGGCAAGGCTGCTGTAGACACTACTATTATTTTTACCAGGGAGTATTTATTGAAAAAAGTTAATTCAAAAGAGATACACTTTTTCAGTTTTAAATCATTGTGCTGAGACCTATATGTAATTTAATATAATAAAAGGCAAAAAAAACAGAGAAGGGAGGGGATTTTGAACATAAAATGACAGGGTTGGGAAGATCTTTACAAAATAGAATGTTTGACTTGGCCAAAGTTGGCTAGAGCTAAGAGTAGAGACTTTCTGCCCTGGGAAGGCAATTCGGGCTCTGAATATCAAAACTGGATATTGAATTATTGGCCAGAATATCAGATTTGTGAGGACATGTAGAAGATTGAATTTGTTGAGGCAATTTAGATTCAAGAACACCTGAGCTGCATGGCACCCTCAGAGCTAAAATATCAAGAGTGGGAGGCACCTTAGAACAAGGGAAGTGAGAGGAGGTCAGGGCTTGAGAACACCAATTGTTCAATTCAGTGGGATCTGAGCATGTTGAAGGTCAGACCTGGGAGAAACCAAAGAGAAAAGAATATCCTAGCCCTCAGGGAACATTAAACAAGGGATATCAGAGCCAGGAAAACCCTTCCAATATACAGTGTCAGGACTAGGAGTAGCCTTAAAAGCAGAGATTGTCAGAGCTGGGAGGACCTTTAGAACAGATTGTGAGAGCTGAGATAGTGCTGAGGATACACACTGTCATTGTTGGCAGATAGTTTGGTTTATGTGCTCCAGGGGAAGGACAGGTATATTTTAAAAATTATATTTAGGATGCAAAGTACAACATATGTTTCATAATAATGCTCTGAATTAGAATTCACATACTGAATCACAAAACCAAAGTGGAAAGGTGACCATACAGTGCCTAATCTGACCCCAAAAGACAACAAAGAAAAGAAAAAAAAAAACAACAACAAAGTAATTGCATGCAGTATCTTGAAGGCTAAAGGTTGCTGCAAATATTACTGTTATTGTTAATGAAAGGGCTGTATTTATTGAAAAAATAAGGTAAGTACACAATATTGAGAAGGGAAACAATTGTGATTTTAAAGAATTATATTGCTAAGAAATAATTGGATAAATAAGTGAAAAAGAAAAAAGACCCTAGAATATCTGAGAAGGGAGAGTCTTTGAAAATAAAATCATAGGGCTGGGAGGATTTATAGAACACAATTTTTTACTTGGAGGCACATTTCAAGAACATATATTGGAGGTTAGAGAGAGCTTAGAACAGAATATTTCACTGCAGGACAACAGTCTAGGCTCCAAATGTCAAATCGTGGAAGACAGAATATCAGACCTTGAAAAATATGTTGAACATTAACTATCGTAAAATGAGTGAACTTGAAGGCAAGTTAGAATCAAAAGTCCCTGAGCTGGATTGGACTCCGGAACCTGGAATATCAAACCTGGCAAGGGCTTTAGAACAAAAAAAGTGAGAGATGATCAGAGCTAGAGAACAAAAATTGTCTAACTCCATGGGATGCTGAGTGCACAGAATGTAAGACCTGGGAGAAACCACAGAGAAGAGAAGGTCAGATCTGGCATGAATAACAAGGGACACCTGTCTAGGAAAGACTCTAGAACATACAGTTTCAGGACTAGTTTTGGCCATATCAGCCATTCAGAACTGAGAGGGCTCTTAGAACATAGATTATTAGACTTGGGATGATCCTGAGAACACACAATATCATCACTGGCAAAGAGTTTTACCTATTTGCTTAGGGTTCTAAATTATGAAGAGGAAGAGTTGTCGAACATTGACAAAAACAACAACTAAAGCTATTTTAGTATGAGAAACAGCACACGTTTCAATGTAATTTATAAAAGAACAATGGCAATGCTCTGAATTAAAACTGTTCTCAAAACACAAACAAATTGGATAGTTAAAATATATGTTGCCTTAGCTGACTCAAAACAAACCAAAAAAAAAAACAAAAACCTGTCAAACTAATAACTCCATGAAAAAAAGTATTCTGGTGAGATTACAATTCATATTGCTTTAATTGGTAATGAATGAGGACTGTTTTATTGAAACAAGTTGTTTCAGTAAAAACCCACTTTGAAAAATGGAACACCATTTGTGATTTTAAATCATTGTATTGCTAAGATTTGTGTAATTTGCTATCATAAAATGGAATAAATAAGTGAAAAGAAAAAAAAACCCTTGGATATCACCGGAATGAGGAGTCTTTGAACATAAAATGACAGAGCTGGGAGAGTCTTTAGGACATAAAATGTCTGATATGGAAGAGCATTTCAGGAGAATATATTGTTTAGAAAGAGTTTAGAATATACAATTTCAGACCTGGGAGGGCAGGTAGGACAATAGAATGTCTGAACTTGGAGGAAACTTAAAGTCAAGAATACCTAATATGATGCCCTGAAAGCTAGAATAGTAAAACTGGGAGAAATCTTAGAACACAGAAACTGTGAGATGTTCAGCTTGAAAAGGGAACTTGTCTGATTCCATGGGATATGAGCACATGGAATGTCAGTTGTGGGAGAAGCCATAGAAAAGGGAATATCAGAGCTGTTCATAGTGCCTAGCACTTGGTAGGCGCTATATAAATGTTAGATTAGCTACTAGGAAAGCTTTTAGAACATAGAATGTCAAGATTAGAAGT